CCAGCAGGTGGAATTCCAGGAGTACCGGAAGATGCGGTCATCGAAATGGTCGATAACCTCTACGGTCAAAAGGACGCTCCTGCCGCCTGGTTCCGTGAGTTTAGCGGCTTTGTGATCTCTCTTAGTTGGCACCAGAGCGTTCTTGACCCATGCCTCTTCACCTTCAGGGATCCCCAAAACCAGAGCTTTGTGGAGCGATGGGGGTGCATGTCGACGACACTGCAGTTGGTGGTTGCGGGAAATGTTTTCAGGAATCAATGCAGAAGTTACGCAATCGGTTCCCTTACCGGAAGTGGCGTCTTCGAAGTGGTGAATTTTGCGAGGCCTGGTATGATCAAAAGGGGGCAAATCAATAGTCATGTCCATGAGCACTTTCGCTGATCGGATTCGGCCGGTGAATGTTCCAAAGGACAGTGCGCCACAAGATCCACTGTCTCCTTGCCAGATCAAAGTGTTGAGGGCTATGAAGGGAAGTCTAAACTGGCTATCATCGCAATCCAGGCCTGAACTCAGTATCAAACAAGCTTATCACAGCAACTATTTCCGCAGCCGTCAATCGAAGACGTCCGAACGGCGAACCAGGCCATAAGATGCGCTATTAGGCTTTTAAGCCAATCAAGTTGCAAGAGTTGTCACTTGTGCGCCATAGTGATGCAGCCTTTGCCAACCGAGGAAACCATACACAAGCAGGCTACATTCTTGGGCTCACGCATAAAGACTTGCACGCAGGCTTGGAGGCACGTTGGACTTGCCTTGCCTGCCGAAGCTACCGTCTCTAGACGCTGGCTGCTGAAAGCCAGTGGGTTCTGTTGCTTTTGGCTGAGATCTGTGACGGACCACTGCAGATTCGAGTGTGCAGAGATGTCCTAAAAAGGAGGCCTCCGATTACTGTGGCCGATTGCAAAGTCTGTACGATCACTTGCATTCGCCATCTTCACCAACCTCGATTGAGGATCAACAAGCAAGCATTGATGCTGTCATAATTAGGGAAAGCTGCAAGAGCATGGCTGCTCTCATTCGCTGGGTTCCGACCAACCATTAACTATATAAAGACTCAGGTGACCCTATCGACCTTCTTCGTGCTTGCATCCGAAGAACTTATCAAATATCACCAGAAGAAGCCATACTGGAAATGCAAGCTGCCGAGAAACAACGTCGTCGAAAAATCCAACAGCAGCGCCAACAAGAACAGGCAAGTCTGAAAGAGGTGGAAACAATTGAAGGGGAACTCAAGTGCAGTTAGGGGATAGGGAGCTTTTGACTCAATCTGGGCTGCTATATTTTTACACAGTGTAGATCAATAGCATGTGTGTCACTTGAATCAGTGAAGCCGTTTGATGTTCGCCGCAGCCTTTTTGCCGAGACCATCACTGGTCTCCCAAGTTGCTGTGCAGGTGCCAGGATCTTCATGTGTACTTTCCTCCCAGCCTCACCATGGCTGGTCACAGTCCGCGTTTGGCATCGGCCACCACTGCAACGAGTGAATATGAGGGCTCAATTGCATCCCTCTAGAGCGTGATTTTTGTGAGTTTGAAGTTGTGAGTGAGCAGAGCGGCCAGGGGTCTATGACCGATGCGTCCAAGCGATGCATGACCGAAGAGGATGCCCCAGCTCGGCAGATGCCGGTGATTCGTGCTACAAAAGGCCGTGCCCCAACTTCTCTCCACAAGGAATGGGGTCGCACCTTAGTGACTGCAGGAAGTTTTGACAAGCAGGATCTTTCCTACAGTGAGCTGGAATCATCAGGCGAGACCTCCAAGGTCAAATACGTGCAATGGATGATCAATCAAGGTGGTCGCAGCGATCTGTCTCCAGAGGTCCAAGACATGACGAGCTATTTTGTCGCCTATGCCCGTGAGAAAGAAGCCGATGGCCCATGCGTCCCTGGATCAAGTGTGACTCGCAAGTACAAAGCATGAATGACCGAAATGACAGCTGCTGATGAGATGGCTACAATTTGAAGATCTGTGAAAGCAAGCATATGCAACAATGCTATGAGCCCACCGGAAAGGCCGTTCGATCCCGCATGCTTTCGAATTTTAGGAAGATCTTTACCAGTCTTGATTCCACACATGGCAGCTTCAGGTTTCGTTGACCCGACACAGGGATTTTCGGCGCGAGCGATGGGAAAAGCCCGAGCGTTCCGTTCAGGCGAAGGGGTTCATTCCGCTAATGTAATTTGGTGTTCATACCATTTCATACCCAGACAATTGGATCCAAATCCAAGTGGTGGTTTACATCAGGTGCTGCTACAAAAGTTCTGAGAGAGCGTCTCACAGTGTATTCCATTCCAGGTCCAGCTGAGGTATGCTGAGGTGTGTGGTGTGTTTATCGACATTTTAGATGAAAGCAGGGGGTGCTTCGAGGTGGAACCGTGATGCTCGTCCCAATGATTAGTGGAGATCATGGTTTGCAAGCAGCTTCCTGTTACTAGTAGTAATGGTCTCCATCCTAGTAGCGATGGCCTCCAACCTATATGTTGCTAGTAGTAATGGCCTCCAACCTAGTCGCTTCCTGTTACTAGTAGTAATGGTCTCCACCCTAGTCGCGATGGCCTCCAACCTAGTAGCTTCTTGTTGCCAGAATGGCCTCCAACCTAGTAGCTTCTTGTTGCTAGTAGCAATGGCCTCCACCCTAGACCTGGTAGCTTCCTGTTGCTAGTAGTAATGGCCTCCACCCTAGTAGTGATGGCCTCCAACCTAGTAGCTTCTTGTCGCTAGTAGTAATGGCCTCCACCCTAGTAGCGATGGCCTTCAACCTAGTAGCTTCTTGTTACTAGTAGTAATGGCCTCCACCCTAGTAGCGATGGCCTCCAACCTAGTAGCTCCTTGCTGCCAGTAGTAATGGCCTAGTAGCGATGGCCTCCACCCTAGTAGCTACTTGTTACTAGTAGTAATGGCCTCCACCCTAGTAGCGATGGCCTCCAACCTAAGAGCCATGGCCTCCACCTAGTAGCGTCCTCTCTCTTAGAAGCCACTTTTTGTGGGTGCAAACTGGAGCGTTGCACGCTTTTGCAAATCGACTTCCAGCTCTCCCCAGGCACCGTAAATTGGGTCCGAACTCTATCTATCTATCTATCTATCTATCTATCTA